ATATATATAACTAGACGAACCTTATGGTTGTACGGCAGTGAAGCATCAGTACCAACACTGATGTTGCTGTCTTTGATGATGATCCCTTCATGTCCTTTTGAGATTCCAAGGTGATGGGTTTGCGACTGTTGGCTGGTATGGATGGAGTGCTCAAATCTTCAAAGAACTAACAGTAGTTACAAACTTGCTTCGTCAACATCGTGATGAACCAGTTGTCTCGTATCTAAAAGCTGCTATACGCTAGATAGACGTAAGAACAGTCTTGCTGTTCCCCTCTCTGTCTGAAGATCTACAAAGCTTCCTAATATTTGGTCACCGGCACCTTAGCATAGCAGGAACCTCAGTGAGCGCATTATCATCGTCAGCTGTAATAACTGCGCACTTGTCGTACAGTGGTTGTAGCTGTCAGTTTCGTTCACCGATGATTTGGGTGGATGGTGTAGGTAGCTGCTCATTGGAAGCGGCAACTGATAAAATAGTGCGCAAATACAACACTGTAGGAGGACTGTTAAGCGGGGGGGGGGGGGAGCTATGCATTGAAGTCTATCGCTTGGATGCATGCGCGCAACGAAGTGGCGCATAAGCCAGCACTTAGTAACAGGTCAGAAACCCTGAACTGTCGTATAGAACTCTTTGGCATAATGTGTTCGTTTGACAGTGAGGTGTGCTACCGTTATAACAACTTGGCATTCGCTTTAGATGTCAACATGACTGAGTTCGTCTCTGGTTATAACCTGACGGCTAGGAACAATAAGTGTTATAGCGTTAATTACGTGTAGTATCCATCTTCAAAGGTTGAGTCCTCATAGTTCTTTTTTTCGGCTGTATATTCTCCTCACGGTTGTGAGTTCGTTAGGCAATTTACTATCACTAAATGGCTAATGATAAGGACAGATGAAAACGAAGTACGAATTCAGCATCGCCATCAATAAACTCAAAAACGGACGTTCGTTGTTACTCATGGCAGTCAATATAGTTGCATCTCTGGAATGCATAGAAGAACAAAATGTGAAGCGGCAACGGTTACTGCTCGTTGTAACGCAAGTGAAATCAAAGCTCTTGCTAAATGCGATCAGACAGATGGATAATTGAACCTACTTCCCCGTTATGTTGTACTTTAGTGTTTCAACATTATGTGGATCAGGAATCACTTATCCGGTAGGAAAATAGTCCCACGTTGCAACAGCTGATACGCTAGACTTACGGCTATTTTCCCCACATCGATCGCGCTGGATATATTAACTCAAATGAGGGATGCGTATAGTCGCTACGGCATTCATGAGTCTTCCCCAACACAAGGTAAACCGTGACAGGAGAGATTTCAAGAATAACTATTCTTGAACAAAGCTCCAGATGCCAACTGAGCAGGCAGAATCACTATACGTTACGGCTACGTTTATCACGGCTGAGTGTGACTTATTGACCGTTGGTCAACCAACTTTACCTACCCAACATCCTCTTACCATCACCAATCGGTTTGTTTCTGCAGAATGAGCTCAATAAAGGCAACACAGTGGTAAATGTGATCTATGAGATCCAGTTGGTTGTACAGCTTCCATCCAATTAGAGGAAAGCGTAAGCTCAAGCTTTGGCTGAGGCGATCCAAAAGAGAAGATTAGGTTTGAATCTCAGTAGTATTCGTCAGTAGTTTGCATCCCAATCCACGTCGATCCAACATCGTGTACCAGAATGGATCAACGCAAGCCATGGTTTGACGCAGTCTATAATCTATCTGCTTAGCTCCACTGGTCATGAAGTTTATGGAAACTGTGAAGTATGGTGCTTCGATAACGCACGTGGATAAAAATACTACATTTCAAGACTTCCTAGTGGCAAAAAATGTCAGCAGAAATACAGGGCTCCCTGTTAATCAGGGAGCCTGTTGTCTGAATGGTTTTACTACCAGAACGACGAAATATTCACTTGAGCACACGACAATAGCAGATTGAATGGAAAGCTGTGCACACATTTCATCCGGCTCAACTGAATCGTAGAATTATGTACGTCGAAAACGTCGATAGCCGAGGCGCACAACACCGTCCGGTACACGGATAGTCCCGCACCGTACTTTATTTAGTGTGAGGTTCGTCCATAACAGTTCCAAACACCTTGTTTGGTACGAATGATGTTTGTGCATTTCTTTTGGTTTCACATGGAGCCGATGTTACACTACCGATTACGCAAATATTTTGAGGTGTATCCGTGTGCACGATGTACTTGCACACCATCACCATTTGCGTCCTTCTGTCTGTCGGATGCTGGCAGGCACAATGTTATCAGATTAACGCGACAGTGACCGGAGATGTATGAGAGAAATCCTTAGTCCTACCATTCGCTAGCAAACACTTCTGTCAGCTTAGACCGTCGTAGATTGTTTCGTACTCAGTATATGATAACGACCGAATTTTACTTTGATATGCTGAAAGTGAGTAAATTCGGTATAAATGTAAATAAAAATTCTCATTCCAACTTAACTCTTCCTGAGTGAATCTGTAACGACTCACTGAATATGTGTACGATGTGTGAACCCTGTGGTACTCTGCTTAGTGCGGTACCATCACAAGCCTTCTACGGTTACTTGTGTCCTAATGGACTACTGGTTGTTTCCATATAACCTGCAACAAGCTCATTAAATGATTTGGGGTAAAATAAGAAAACAAACTTTGAAAAGTCGGCTGTTTGATATTCCTGAAACAATCAAGGCCAACTGTGAGGATGAGATGGGTCTGGGGTTAGAGGGCGAATTTACTGACCGGAAGGTCCGTGGTTCGCGCGAATTGACTGACCGGAAGGTCCGTGGTTCGAACTCGACCTCTGCCTCTCGACTTCCCCTGTCTGGGCTTGGGCAAACTGGTAGTATCCCATCCCTCGTGCCTTCTCTGGGGTGCATGGCAGCTGGGCACCTCAAGGGTGCTACAGGTGAACTATGAAGACAGTTTGGGTGCTAGTAAGAAAGTTACGAGTCAACAGGGCGGTCTCAGTAACTTCCAAACAGACTGAATAGAGAAGTGAGTTTGACAGCTGCCTGTAAGAAACTTTATGTCCTAGTCTGGAGACATACCAGAGTGGATTACTTGAGGTTTTCATCTAGGATGGACTGGCAGTGATATTTCATTTTTTTCATCAGTGAAAAAGCCTACGAATATTTAGTTGCAACCTGTAACACAATGGTGTCAGCGAGAAGCTGACACCATCGGACGCTGGCCAGGTCGTGATTAATGATTACTGAAGTAACTGTAGCCCGACGAACACTACTCATTAGCGTTAGTAGTTGCTAAATTCCTGTATATGGCCACGCAGTCACTCCCTAATTAGTTCCCTCCTTCTAAAGACCGTTTATCAATTATACAAATTCTTCGATTAGGATAGATGGGAAACCTCTAAATACATCGGAGGGGTTCGATTTCTAGCTAAACAAAACACGTAGCGTGTCAGTATCAGCCGCGATAAGCCTCAGTGCACTTTACGAATAGCTGTTTATTTCACGATAACTGTTTTCATTTCGCTTCCGGTGCACTCATCACGCCATTTTGCGTGGGACTGCATTTTCAAGGTCGGATAAACTTACCACCCCTATCTGCTTTTCACTAGCTTCTCGTGACAGCAGTGTACACTTATGAGATGTTGCGACTGAGTGTTGTCGGGGGACAGTTGCATTGGTTTGTCTTCGAACATTAACAACGATCGTGACAATGATGAAGCGTATATTCACCACCATGGCCCCAAACACCCATCTGCATCATCGGTGTAACACAGTTTGTTGAGAAATTCTCACCACTAACCCCGCACGTGAGATCACAATTGCATCGGAATAAGTTGAATAAGTAAGTGTAGAGTGGCTGACAGAAGGCAAACGACAGTCGAACCATAACCAGGCAGTTTTCGACTGAATTTTCAGGTTTCTGAAATGAGAGACAGGGTTCCGACAACTGTGTCATGTGAAAATGAATTGAACGAATCAGAAACTTTTGAAATGTCGACAACTACCGAACTGAAGGTAGAAGCAGTCGCCGAAGAGTGAAGACATATGCAACCTGCGGCTCCATCAGTCAGCAAAAAGCAACCAACTGGAATGGCGAAATTGGATTTCGGACCTTCGGAACCAGAGTAAACCATGCACGGCACAAATGTGGAGGACAATAACTGATCCAAAGAAAGAAGAGAACTCCGCTAACCGGATGATATGGACCATCAGAAAAGACCTTCGATCGAATTCCGCAAAAGGTTTTCAGTCCGTATGTGCAATAATAATGCAGGAATTGCTACTGCTGGAACAGGTTCAGCTTCTTCAAAAAAGGAAGTTTGAGGCCACCAAACTCTCTAATGCTCAGTTGACCTTCAATAGTTGGATCGGTTGCTACTGGCACGTTGGCATAGTAGGGTTGACCTGATCTGTCTTACGCCAAGACCGTTCTGGTAATCTAAAAAGGTATTTCCCAGTACCGAATGGAAAGGTCACAAGTGCGTGTCAGCTGAAGCTTCACAGGACTGTGAGACTGATTCTGAATTTGTTTGTCACTTTGTCGACAGATTGGGTCAATGAGTGGAACAGTTCGCCGGACGAGAATTTGTCTGCTAGCACATGAGCGACTTTGAAAAACTAACTGAGAACGTCATCAGAAAAATGCCTACATAGAGAGGAACAAGAAGGGAAGAAACACCCCACGGTTTCAAAAACTTCACTGACTGCCTTACTTCTCTGGACACCCCGACTTGAGTGTATGGGTCGAATACGATAGAGATGAGCTGACGACTGGTGATGGTCTGCTGCCACTCCTAAAGCATGTTGTGAACGCGTGCGACTCAGTCAGCTGATTCGTTAGGTCGTATTGGGGGTAAAAATAACGTATGGGGAACATCGAGACAATGGTGAATAGTGGCAGAAAATCGACGGAATTTGGGGAGGTATCAATGAAATATACGGCCTTAAATTACTTCACTCAATGTAAGCAAATTGAACTAATTGTTGTCTCTCTTCTCAGTAGAACAGAGTAGAATGCGTTGCGATACTGACTACCAGCGACTCAGTGGTTAGAGTGCGGAAGGTCCGTGGTTCGAACCCGACCTCTGCCTCTCGACTTCCCCTGTCTAGGCTTGAGCAACCTGGCAGTATCCCAGCCCTCGTGCTTCGTTTGGGTGGCATGGCACCTAGGCAACGAAATGGCATTACAGCTGAACAACCAGCGACTAGTCAGAATTTTCCATAACTCACGATTTTTATGGAGGATCAAGCTATAGCCTGGTAGTTTTTGCAAGCGGTATCTGTGAAGAAGAAATAGCGACCCCTGAGATAGCGATCCATTTGGCACCTCCTCCAGAAACAATATAAACGGACGAAATTCACCCTAATCAGGACAGATGCACTTTCCTAATTAACAGAAGCGTTGTAAGGGCATTGTTTCTCCAACGTTCTCGCACCATAGAGGTTCCACAGAATGCATGATATAAACTTACGGCCTATTTAGTTGCGTATACAGGAAGCCATAAGCTATCAAGTTTCGGTGCGTCGGGTAACAGAATTGCGCGCGCACAACCTGTACTCAGCAGTGAATTCTAAGCTCGGTCACCATTGATGTCCTGTCAGGATTGCCGGTAATCTTTATGGTTACAACATAGAATTGGCTGACTTGAAATCAAAGCATGCTATCAGTTATCAGTTTCTAGAATGTGACAACAGGTAAGTCTGCTTTGCGGGCTTGATCACTTGTTCAGAAGTCCATCCACTTGTTGTGCCTTTATCGCCTCCTTGTTTATGCTAGGTGGATAAAGATCGACTATAATATCGGGTTTGTACCGAAGTCCGCTGTCGACTGCTATGGTATTAAAAACTAACTCGTTTGTGATTAAGTCATGGGGTTGTCACTGCATCCTTTCTACCCTAGAGACTAACTAGTAGTTTGAAAATGCGAGTGATGCGATTAAGATGTGATGCTGTTGTGACCCAACGACTTTAGAAGCAGTCTGAAGATAACAGTGCCGACATCCATGCTCGTGAAGATTGAAATGAAAGAAGAAAAGTGGCTAAAAAATTAACTGTGACTTCTAATGGTATTAAAACGTTGACTGGCACTGCTTTTCCAGCCGTTTTTTTTTTGGGGTGGGGTGGGGTGGGGGGGAAGGGCTTCATTTAAACAGACTGAAATGCGTGAGGTTATGACGTTTATCGTGGCTCTCGAATGATTTTATTTGTCGGAGGGGAACAAAGTCTGTCTTTCGATTGCTGTGTGCGAACCCTAACCGCGGTTTGTGCATAAAATACACTGACTCTTCACACAATGCTGGGTTTTTTTTTACGGTTAGGGAGCGAAATGAAAGGTGAAAACGGCGAGGCGTCGACAAGACAAAATTTGTTTGCATTGGTTCTATAACATTCTTCTGCGGGCGTAGCACCATGCTATTTCTTTATGCTGGTCAATGCAGCACTTGCGAACTCATCGCTTTTAGCCTAATTCTTCTCGCCTTCAGGATGGCTTTCAATTCTTAGTTGTGTGGTGTGGAAGTGGATGCAGAGTGTACCCTGATTTCGGAACCGGATGTACGGGCAATAAAGACCGAACCAACCAATGTTGGTCACTAAATTTCCTGCGAAAATGTTTACCAGTGGCCGGACAACAGAGTGAATGAATTTCGCGCACGCCATCAAGTTCCCCAATACGTCTAGATTTGATAAATTACCAAATCTAACGGATTCCCCGAGCTTCGCACGCAACTGCCTAATTAATGAGGCAGCCAACCGTTAGGTTTGTCCAAATGGAGCTACAGGGCCATCGCCACGACCGGAAGGAAGTGCGTGACGCTACAATCCACAGGAGTGAGATGAAATGGAGCACCCATCGGATTGGTTTAACGGTCATGAAATGCTTGACTGGATCAACTGCTTCACCGATTTACTGTTCTCAAGCGTTCGTGAACGCATATCAGGCAACTGACTCAGTGGCATAAGAGAAAAAGGGGTAAGAGATATCGTTTAATCGGCTCGATCTGTTGGCTCTGTTGTTGACCACATTATGTGGAAGCTTTGCACTGAAGTCCACATTCCCGTTGCATCACAAAACACTAATTCTTAGTGAATCGGCATCCACGTGTTTTCTGGGAAAGCTAATCATAATTATCTGTGATCTTCGTATTTGTTGCTTACTAGCCCCATTCGTCCACAACACGCCACATAACACCGACTTCGTCTACTTGTCTTTCCTGATACAGCACTTGCCAATCCAATCAACATTGGCTCAGCACTAACAGAAACCATCAGCAACGCCCAACTTCCCGCTTAGTGCTTGCACTCTTGTCGTGGAGACTGAACAGTTGTGACACTCGCCTAGTTGTCAAATGTGTCGCATTTACCGATATTGACAAGGAATCTAGTACACCAAGATTACAACGAAGGAGTAGCCTAGAGTGTGATGGAGAGTCCGACGCTCCGAAAAACAAGGTTGATAGACTAGTGAGCGCCAACCGACTCTGAACAGAGGAATGATTTGGTGCAATCTGCAAACAGGTACTGAGATGTTTCAAGTCAATAGGGAGTTCTCTTGGATAAAATAACAGAACACTGTACAATAGTAGGGTAAAAGGCATGGGATAAAATCACTGTAATCGAAGGTTATCTGGGTGTGGGTCGGGCAGTGATAGTGCGGTATACAGCATAAGTATGGAGACTAAAGATGACGAATACGAGCAGGTCATCTATTAGCCCAAAGAATCCGGCCACCACTTCGGGAATCACATCCCAAGGGGAGAGAATATAGAGTAGAGCACAGAACCCGAACAGGATGAGTCGAGAATGGAGCAGAAACGGTGCACCATCGTGGCTGAACAGGAATTGTACGGCTGCACGGGCGTAAATTGGAAGATCGCGCAGTCTTTGCCAGAGCTGAGGGGTATCGGTCAAAGGGAGAGATAAATGACTAGGATAATAATGAAAGAATACAGGAAACATCATAAAATCTAAGGCTTTGACAACAAAGCCAGTGGCGATTTACGGCCACCAAGTCATTAGGAAATGCTTGAATCACCTGAAAGGATACCATCTGATCCAATTCTAAGTTGACCAGGCAATGCATCAGCTAACATTAATCACCGGACTTATTTCATCTTGGAGTTGAGCCCCCCCCCCCCGTGTTGTATTGTTGCGATTTGATTCTCTACAGGTCAGTACTATGGTTTCCGAAGTACAAAAGGACACCACTGAGATCAGACAAAATCGCTTCTAGAAGAGGGAGTGAATATACGAACATTTTTCGGTAGAAAAGAAGATGGAATGGAGCATCCTGATTGTTACCTAGGGGGATTATTCATCTGTTGCCTGTGCCAGACATACGGAAGTTAGTCTACCAGATGTTCCCCGAAATGAGCCCTATAAATTACTACCACGGATGTACTTTTGGGGAACAAATCGAACCGACTATTGAATAGCAAAATCTTACAACACGAAGAAAGTTCATGATGTCGAGAACGCTATTGTTGGACAGGGAAGCAAAACTCTCATATGCATCTTGTTTACAAAAACTGAATATCTATCTTCTCTTTGAACGCGTATTTCTGAACTTTCCTGGATATTCATTGACTATTGTTCGAATCCAAGCAAATGCTACAAAGCGACTTCACAAGTCCCGCAATAGATCTTCCTTTTTAAACGACAAAAAGCGAATTTACAAGAAAACATACTACTCGCATGCCTCCACATCAGTAGTATCGCCGTCACACCAGTAGCGTGTTGCCACAGTGCCCGTAATTGCTACAGTTTCATTATCTTGGTTTACTGCATTACTCTGAAGTATACCACGGTTGGAGGGATGATTCCTGGTGCGTTCCTGGACAAACATTACGATGATTGGCTGATTAGCTAAGGCACAGTTGTTTATCCCTAGAAAGAACAGTCCTCTGAAAATCACTCTGAGCTGGCCCTTCGGAGCCTCTATGGAATTTCAGAACCCTGGAGAGACCTATCAGATCGGAACAAGGATCATCCTCCTAAGTAAATGATGGTCAAAAACTAGTCTTCGGAAGTGTACGGTTCTCAGATCTCCCATTGCAAATTCTATAAAGCGGTCTGTAGAAAGTCCAAATGGAATACTCATTTTGCGTACTTTTGTGGACGAACTGGCAGAATTGACCAAAGTCATTCCATCCTTTTGCATGCGCCCCGCACTCGAGAATTGCAAAGTCGTGCAAATGGACATCTCGTCATTGAATACGCAGCTGGTAATCCAGGAAGAGGCACTCGAGGTTGGGGAATTCGTACCGAATCTGACCGTATTGTGACAAAGGGCAAGATGGCCCAAGTGGTTAGAGCGCGAATTTACTGACCGGAAGGTCCGTGGTTCAAACCCGACCTCTGCCTCTCGAGTTCCCCTGTCTAGGCTTGGGCAACTTGACAGTATCCCAGCCATCGTGCTTCCTTCGGGTAGCATGGCAGTATTGTGACAAATGGTAACAACCGCTCGGTCCTGGCCGCCTTATTATCCGGAGGTGAGACGGGTGAGGAATTGTCAGGTCGTCACATTCTACGTAACAGCAGTGGAGATATCAGGTTCGGGTTCAAAAACCTTGGAACAGGGAGAAGATCTGTAACGTCAACGTACGACGGCAGACACTGGATCATGATTGGTTGTTCGCTCCAACCTTTCGACCCTTGATGCTCGATTGGCAAGCGACTCGATCTTTTAACAAGTCGCGTGCGGGATAGGTTTCTTGGCCGTAGCAGCGCCTAACTGTGAGAGGTCAAGTGGTATCGGTTCACAAGTTCGCCTGACAGAAGCCTAAACAATAGCAGTCGAGATGCAGAGATTGGGTTCGAACCACGAACCTCTGATCAGTAAGTTCGCGCCTTGACCAATGAACCGTCCCGGGCTCTGAGACCTGGCCTCTAAAATCAGCGGAGACGAAGCGCTTCAGGTCTTCAGTTACGGTTGTTTCATACTTATAACTGGGGCCAGAGAATTGGAAAACGAATACTCGGTTGTTTAACGGGGCTTCCATAAGGCACTGTGCCCAGAGGCAAAAGCTTCGACGGTTTGTTTATATTTTACCCACACCAAATCATCGTTTTCCGAAAAAAGTGCTGTTTTTGTGTCCAAAACAGAGTGGCGCAAGCCGAGAGGTGGCCAACCTTTGCTCTGGAAAGCAAGTAGGGGAGCAAATAGGAAAGTTCTGGGTACTGTCGCACCACTTTGGATAGGGTCCACGTGGCCCTATGCGTACAAGGCCGAAGACGCTGCAGTATATGGCCGCTAATTGATTTCAGTGACGTTATCAACAGTTTCTATCCAGATTATCTTAATGAGTGTAAGGGCTGTAGGAACCTCCGGATTATTGTAGCAGGATAGCATCAGGTCCTTTCGCTATTCGCTTTTGTTCTTCAAGAATAAGGCTTTCAAGTAAAACACGGTTGTATGGCAGTGAAACATCAGTACTCAGCTCCGTTTTGCTGCCGTTTCCGCCATGCATGCATAAGTTGGCAAGATGGCTAAGTGGTTAGAGCACACATTTACTGAACGTCCATGGTTTGAATCCCACTCTGGACCTCGACTTATCCTGTCTGAGTTTGGTTAACCTGGCAGTATCCGAGGGCTCGTGCTTCCTCCGGGTGGCATGACAGCTAGGCACCGAAGGGGTGCTATAGCTGAACGGTTATCTTCATTTATAGTGTGATGTCAGGAAAAATACTTTGATACCTTGAATAGCGTTCAAACCGAAACATGAGGCGGCACTTGCACAGCATATTCAGTTGAAGAATATCCTATATGAATTATTCAAATGACCCCCCTCCGTTAGAATCACCTGAAGTTATCCACTCCCTCACCGAATAAAGTTCCAACCAACATAGCTACATGCAATCGGGAAACACATGCCAAGTACGATAAGCGCACTTCACGCTTCCAGTTTTCACGGAATATACCGAGAGTAAGACTGTTGATCGAAATGGGAATATGGAGAAAATGTCCCTTTATAAAAGGTGATTCGCGAGAAAAAGGCCATTAACCGGACTCACAGGAACGGGTGCATCAGAATGCCATCGATTGTATAGATCAATATCCGCGTCAATTGATAAACGCTCGCTGTCTGTGCGTTCACATTCTGATTGGGTGAAATGTCGACTTAACGACCGTACCTGTGGGAAATAAACGATACGTATGTTATGGTATAATAATAGCAAATCTGGGTATAACGCAAGAGTTCAACAGGATGAACTGCATTGCACGCTGAACCTACCGGGATTTGAACCGAAGTCAATTTGTGACAAAGGTAGGGACAAATAGGACGGGTCGATGAGACACTAGGTGCTTTACCAATAACATCATACAGTACCACCCCTGTATCAAGCCCTCGAAAAAGTCAGACGAGTCCAGCTATAGCCAAGGAAGGCCATGCGGCCGTCTTAGAGAGGTGTTCGTTACAAGGAGGGTCGTTAGACGCTATCCACTACTCCTGTGGTGAGGCAAAGTATTTCGAAGGCATACGATTCCCTGGTTCTTAAACTTACTGCAGATTAACTGTACCAATTGTGATTAACTTCCAACACTTTTTGGAAGTATCCGGACGAACGCTATGAACATTCCTTGCCATACTTTTCAATCCTAGTGTTTTCAAACGCGTCGGAAAATTCGTGGTACATAGGCAAAAAAAGAAACTGCAACATGTTCAGCTGATTTCCATCTGTGTCCGTAAAATAAGAACTGACATTATTGTCGTTCAAATGCCTAAATCACATGACACAATACCCCATGCTAAAATCACTCATGAAGAGGAAATTTTAGAAAGCCCCGAAAACGCGAGAAAAGCGGAATCAAGATCAACATAGATAACGATTGAATAGCGAAGAAACGTAGCGAGTTCGCCCATACATACTTGGTTACTAAATGGGAATGCGGTGCGGTTACCACCGAAAAGGGGAGCCGACACACTTATGTAGGTGAACCAGTTTCTCGGGATCAGATTGAATGGCTAGATTGAAAATAAGCGCGACCAGGCTCAAGTATGACTGGAAGTCGAAAAGACAGACCAATTCAATTGGCAGTTTCAAGATAAAAAGGACTGCCGAAGTAGATCATACCTTCAACTCCCAAGTTATCGTTCACGATCAAGCGAGATGTCCCAAGTGGTTAGAGCGCGAATTTCCTGATCAAAAGGTCCGTGGTTCGAACCCGACCTCTGCCTCTCGATTGCCCCTGTCTAGGCTTGGGCAACCTGGCAGTTTCCCAACCCTCGTGCTTCCTTCGGGTGGCACGACAGTTAGGCACCGAAAGGGTGCTACAGCTGAACAATTTTTTTTCACGATCAAGCGTTTACTAAAACCTAAGTAACCTAAGTAACCACAGCTTGATATCTTAACATTCGTGTGTCGATTTCTCTGTTTTCAACACGCCTATCATAGCTGTTTACGCTTGTGAAGCATACCACATCTTTCGCCTGCTATCCGGCATCCAGACCAGCGTCCTTAAATGCCACATGCCGTAAGGGTTCGCGTGCCTGTGGCCGTACTGAGGCATGAGGGCTTTGACGCATGATCGTCATTTGAACCGTCTAGCGCTTCGTGGCGTCCGAATGCAGTGCGCAATCACTGTGGTGGGAATGATTTTGTATTAAAAGAGCAAACAGAATTGCCGCATGTCACCGCAATTAATCCTGTGGTCGGTTATCTTTCAATGATAAACCTGCACATAATTTCAACCAATGGGACAAGTATAATCAACTCCTCAAAAAGTCACCTGACCAATCTTAATTGCACCAGGTTCCATGTGATTCTGTGGGAAATGACGCGTGACCATGTTAAATCGACAAACAACTTTGCTTTGTTAGTATACATGCCCGAAGCACGCCCGCTAGCATTCGGGAATACTCACAACTGGGATTTCAGGCCAGCCTACTGTACATGAAAGGCGGTGTCCGAAAAAGAAATACGCATGTTGAAGTCAGTGAATTTCCTGAACATGGATGATAATGAGGACGTTCGGGGAGCCGTAATCAAACTCAGGTCAACTAAGCAGCCGATTTCATGATGCAGTTCTCTGGCATTTCCCCCTAAATTTTATGGAAGGATATCCGATGCTCGTTTTGGTTTGAAAAGCTGCTAGGAAGCTAGCGAAAGGATCAGTCCTCGTATCGGATTTGAATACCGGCACCTCCGTTCATTTGTACTTTCCACTACAACGGATAATGTTTGCGGAATCCGGGTTAGCATGGTGGATTCCGGGGAGTCCAGTTTCGTTCATATTCGAGGTAAGAAAGAACATGGTAGAGATGTCTCTATTTGCAATGTTGTGGATTCATCAGTATTGACACGAATAACAGGGCTGTGGCAGATGGGAAAGTGAGAACCACGGGTGTAGCTCTAAAACATGCCCGCTTATATATGAAGATGCGAGCATTATTAGCAGACTGCGGCAGATGGAAGGGCTGCAGCTAGGAATTATGACAGTCACTGCGAGGGCCTCTTTCTGGCAACCGAGGTAGTTCGTCAATGTGTTAAATGAACTTATGAAACAAACAAAACTTCACTACGGAGGGAGCGCCGTCAGACTATTCAGAGGGGCAATGGGACTGTTACGAATGAAGATAAACATATCGAACATGTAAAAAGATTACAAAGAACACGCGACCGGCATGTAGCGTACCGCAAAACATCTCGAATATGCACTGTATAGCGTGAGCGAACTATGCTACAGTCAGATGCAAAGAGAAACGAACCAATAGGGAAGCGGAAGTAGAACGGAATGACCCTGGCCACGCCGTGAGCAGAACGACCTAGCACAAGTGCCGAGTGGAATGGCTTTGATCATCTAGTTCCTAGCCACGTTAGCAACGCCCCAAAAACCACCCCCGATTGCATATATTCCACTCCGGAAAAGACAAACTACCCCCTAAAGGGGGCACCCAACCACAAAGGTAACAAACATAAAAAGTGGAGACGTAGAGTCGGTAGGGATGGGTGCGGAACGTAAGCAAGTAGTTAACTGTCTACCATTCAAAACCCCGATCGAAGCTCGTGTTGAGTAGAACAGTGGAAAAGGAACAGTGCAATAAAAACACAAGAAATTCAGACTATTTGGAGGTATCGTATCGTAACGTATCGTTCAGTTGTAGCAGCCTTTGGGTGACTAGCTACCACGCCAACGAAAGAGGGCAGAATAACAGTACGACAGATGAAATACAGTTTGAACATTTTGATTCCTGTAAATAATCAACAATGTCGTTAGAGCAAGAGTGAATAGTTAAGCAACGGTCTAGTTCACTACCGATGGAACGGGCAAAGGTGTTTCGACTACTTTGCGACGCTGAAGGTTATGGATGTCTGAATCGGCCTAAAACCCAAACAAATACGGGATGGACTGTTTGGTGGAACTCATACTAAGGTGTTGTACAGAATTTCACGATCCCAGCAGTTGGTTCGGAGATACTTCTTTACGAAACGTCACAGGCGATTTCGGAAGATTTTCCACCAGAATTCGAAGAGTATCAGGGTGTGAATATGAACAATGATTATCACTTCATCTGTTTCGTGTTACTGAGCGGAAATGGGAACAGCAGAATGCCTACCAAACGGTTGTCGCTGGTTCGTTACACTCGTCTGGTTTATTGATCGAATAAATGAAGCGTAGATGTGCACAGCTGGTGGAGCGTGCTCAACGATCACTGTTACTAAACATACCAAACACGGTTTGAGAGCATTGCAGGTAAGGAATTTCGGGCACCCGTGATTTGGATGGCGAATAAGGATGCTCCACTGAGTAGCGGAACGTAAGAGAATGATGGTGAGACCAGGCAAAGAAATCGTCGGCAGCACTGCAAAAAGCAATGTAAAAAACACTTCACCCTCATCAAGCGGTTCACAAACTTATGAAATAGTTTCGGAGAAATACGAAAAAACAGAGGCTAAGTTCTCTACGCGAGACCAATTTATCCTTCCACACAGCTTCACCTGCTGCTGTGTGGCAGAGTACGTTAGTCGAGCAGCTAAACGAGTGTCAGGGTACCGTCCGGCCTAGTTTGGAAATAGCCTGAAAATCGAACGCCGAGTGCATGTGAATTCTGTTTCCAAAATCACTTTCAGGGTTTCGGAGAATCAGCCGGATATTAAATAGCAGTCACAGCAGAAGTGATCAACATCAAGGAGGTTAGGAAACCGTCCTCTGGGTCCAAAATAGGTACGGCTCCGGACAGAGAGTCCAGGTGTCTCCGCACAGCGACAAATTAGCCATACAATGTGACACAACTTTATGACTAATTTCTTAGACTAACCTTGTCCGGGGGCCAGCTGTTCGTAATAACCGAACATCACATCATCCGGACGGACACGGACCAAACGAAGGTGTGCCCTGATTGGTCAGGTTGCCAGCCAATCCGGGTCGAGCATCTGACCCGACGCTTCTCGCCCCCTCACGGATATTCTGGCACGACCTTGTGGAACACTGTGACTACCCTATAAATACGGTTGTACTAATTTTCCTTTGTCTCCATAAAGGGCTGTGTAAAGCTATCTTGCCTTTTGATTTACCATAGTGGGCGGAGCAGGAAGCCAAGGGACCGATACAGAGTTGCACTACCGTTCAGCAGGGCACAAGAAACCTCAAGTAAAAACTGGTCCCTTCCACTTTGAAATTGAAATATGTATTTTTTTAACCTCCCAATAATGGTATTGACCAGAAAATGAATTACCGAGAGCGTCCGTTCGTCAAAACGCTCTCTGTGACAATAGGAATGCTTTGAGACATAAAAGTGAACTAGCTGACGCAGTGAGTATTCCCTTTTCATACGAGACTGGCGACTCACCCACTCACCTTTAATCGGGATCACCCAAATAGGATATACTAGTCTAATCGATAGACGCGAGCAGTCCTCACTAGACAGCTTTTCCAACTTCTTGTACCTAGTACAGTCAACAGGGATGTCCAGAGCGGTGAAAGCAATAGGTAACACATACTTCTGATAGCGAACTGTCGACTGCGAAGGACACCAGTTGGGAGTATACCGTGAAAAAAAAAGAAAAATAAAGAGCGGCAAGACAACCTTAAATCACGTGCTTCCTGCACAACCACTGACCAATCATGTGTCCCGGTAGTCAGCTGACAGTTTGTAAAGCAAACTTAGCCTAATCAACTAAAAACAAGTTGG